CCCCCCCCCCCCCCACCCCAAGGCCCACAACTTTATCCAGGGCCTGGCCGTCGCTCCAGGGCTGTCTTTGCCTGGCAGAATCAGAGCCGACGATGAAGTCGATGAGCTCCTTGGATGCTAACTTGTTCCGGGCCCCAAGCCCTAAACCATCAGAGTTCCAAATAAGTCTACATATGTATATATATATATATATATGTATATATATATATATACACCTATCTACTCGTTTATAAATCTAAGGATACATGAGCTCCTCGGATGATTGGTTCTTTGGTATCGGGCCCTAAACCCGAAAACCGCAAAACCCCAATGAGTACAATGGTTCTTATGGATCCTCGGAGGCTTGCTGTTACAGGGTTTGTACTTTTGCAAACTCGGCTGATTGGATTTCTCACGGAGTTCTTCGGCCTACGGTGCGAATCTGAGGGTTGTAGGGTCCAGGGCATGTGAAGCTTTCGAGTTTGCTGCGGTTCACCTTCGGTGTTCATGAGGTTTTCTCGGGCTCCGGGCAGTAGGGCTTGAACAAGGTGTTGGTCTTGGCGCCCATCGTGCAAGTTGTGCCAAGTACCCATGTTCAGAAACTGCTTAAGTACACATGACACTGCTGCACGCATGTTGTCTGCTGGCCCGGGCTAATTATCCAGTCAAATGCCGAGCGAAGGCGTTGCGATTCCGATCAAACTTTCTGGAATGTCACTAGCCTCAAGGCCTTATAAAGTGGGATCGCATGACTTATCGTCCTCGATTCATGCTCCATTTTTGGGCGAATTTGCTCCCTTTTGGGACTCTTTTGAACCAGCAAGCTGGTACTCATACTTTGGCTTTGGGACACCACGCTGCAAAGTCCCGAAACCCTACCGTAAACCCTCACAGGTAGGATCCTGGAGCATGAACCCTGCCTCTTCAACGTAGATCCCCCAAGCTATGCAGTCCAAAGAACTCAGGAAACCTTTGCTCTTCAGTTTCGGGGTTTAGTCGCCCTCCAGTCTTTGAGGCATCTACGGCTTTAGGCTTCTACCTGGTCTCCATATTGAATATTCTTTTGGGGGTTACATTGTGGGAACCTGAGTATAACAAAATGGGTTCAACCAACAAAGGGAAGTACAGTGGAGACTATAGGTAGTTTCAGGGTTATATATATATATGTATATATATATATATATATGCTTTGTAGTCTTGTTGAGGGCGCTTTGGGATTGTTTTAGGGTGTTAAAGCTGCTGGCGACCAAAGGGGGAAATTCAGCGAGGAGCCAAGGTGTCTTGCGTCTCCCGCTCGCTCCAGACAACGGACTGAACACCGCCGGAGGCCCCTTGCGGCGGGTTTTGGATTCGCTGTTTGCCTCTCGCCTGGCTAGGACTATGCAGTTGTGGGTTTTTCGATGCGACGGCTTCTGGGTCTAAGTTTACAAGGGTAAGTGGCTTCGGGCTGTTTTGGGGTTCGTGTCTTCATGTTCAGTTGACGCACTGGCAAGTGTCAGCTGGCACATGCTGGCACACTACTGTTCATGCTGCACGTAATGTAGGGGCCTGCATAATTAGAATAGGGTTTTGGTGTATATTATACTGTAATTAGAATAAGGATCCCACCCAAAAAAATACTGTTGGTAATTATTTAGGCTTCTATAGTAGCACGGCCCAGGCGGGCTTGTGTGTGGTTGACGTCAGATGGTGCTCGTTGCACGGCATGGCATAAGCAAGCTGGCACCCTAACACCAAAGCTAGCTGGTACGCTCCGCGGCTGCTCACGATGTCGGTTGCACGGCGCACCCTAGCCTAAGCTAAGCCAGCTGCCACGTAGCACTTTGTGGGTCAGGAATGGGTACGTAACGGGTTTCGAGCAGGTGCTGTAAGCACAACTTTGTTCAGAACCATGGCAATAATGTCCAGGTGATTAATACGGTTCAGGGCACTAGAATAAAGCTCAATTCCTCAAGCTCTGCCGGCCTCGGCCATGTATCAAGAGTGTCCATGTGTTATATAAGACCATTCTCGAAAGAAGTTTTGAGGCCTGATTTCATTCTGGTAACACGGCTCAAAGCAGCCCAATGGCCGCGTACAGTATCGTGTTTGGGCTTTAGCTGACCCTAAGCCCTATAGCTCCCTACCTTAACCCCAGATAGCCCACCTGTTTAACGACTTATATAAAGAAATCATGTTAAGGAACCCTTGTAATGCAGGATTTCCCGGATCCAGGAAGCCCGTAAATCCTGAAACCCTGAGCCCTAAACCCTAAACCCTAAGCCCTTTTTTGGCATCAGGGCTTATGCAATCGCCTGAATGTCTGAGCCTACGCCCTAAGCCCTAAAACCCTGAAGCCCAAGGCCCTCAACCCAGACGCCTGCACCACGCACGTCGGCAGAGACCACGGCGAAGCCGCTGCGAACGAACTCGGCCTTCCATGGCCCAAGCCTGAGTTTAGGGTTTAAGGCTTTAGGGTTTTAGGGCTTTACGGTTTAGCGTTTTAGGGTTTAGGGTGAGCGTATCTGTCTTAGGGTGCTAGGGCTTCTGTTTGCCTCCTACGTAGCAAGGACGAGCCCGCATTGCAGGGTATGTGCCAGGGGTTTCGTCTCTCTCACTCTCGCACAAGCAGGCAAGGCTCTGGGGTTTAGGGTGTAGGATTTAGGGTTTAGGGTTTAATTACGTAGGGATGTTCGGCCTGCTGGGCTTCAGGGTTTGGCTTGTCGGGCTTCACAGCCGTTGACATTATGCTTCCGCCGGTATTGCCTTCTTACCGTTCGCACTGTCCATAGTTACCCTTGATTCTTGTCCAGTGTGTCTGGAGTTGTCACAAAGTCGCCTGTTGGAAGGGGTAGCATGACCCCTAACCCTTAAACCCTAGTCCTAAACCCTAGACCCTAAACCCTAAACCCAAAGCCGTAAACCCTAAACCCTACACTGCCGAAAGTCTCCAGCCTCTTCTTGGCTTAAAGGCTTCGACTCGCACGCTCGCATAAGGCAGGCACAAAGGTTTAGGGTTTTAGGAGTTTTAGGGTTTAAATATAGGGGCCTTAATAATTTGAATAAGGTTTTGGGGCCCATTATACTATTATAATAAGAAGCCCCAGACTAATATTGGTAGTTACTGAGGCCCCGACATTACACTCTCACACCTCATCAGGCGCAGTCGGGGTGAAAAACAGTTGAAGCCTCCCTCTACCGAACCTTATGGGTTCAGGTTTTTGAAGTTCTTCATAGGACCTATCATTAGGAACTCTTAGCGCTCAGCTAAACCCTAAACCCTAAACCTTAAACCTTAAACCCTAAATCCTAAAGCCTAAAGCCTAAGGCCCAAAGCCTAAACCTTAAACCCTAAACCCTGCTAGACTCCAGCCCTGAACCCTACAACAGGAACCTGACAACCGAAAACGGCGAGAACCATCCTCAATCTGCAGCTCGAAGCCGGAACCGCTGCAGTACACTTATAGAACCCAGGGATCCCTGGTGTCCTCAAAGAAAACCCAAGATGAACGCTTCAAACAACCCTTAAAGGAACCCCCTACAGATCTGTTCAACGGAAATCTCACGGGTCCCTTTCAAGGACCCCGTAAAGAACCCCTGAACGGACCCTAAACCCTAAACCGTCCCTAAACCCTAAACCCTAAACCACCGAAGTTCGGAGATTTCTTGCTTGTCGCTTGCCGGGCCGCAGGAAATCCCAGGGCTCACCTGGACGCTGCAGGCACTCTGAGCGTTTCAGGTCTCCAGTTCTAGTGATACTCTTAACCCCACTCTCTCTCTCTCTCTATTTATGTATCTATCTATCTATCTAGCTATCTACATATATACATCATATATATATATAT